GGCCTCCACCGAGGCGAGGAGGGCCGCGAGGTGCTTCACAGCGGCGCCTCTGCACGCGTGGGGCCGCGAGACGGGGCCTGGCTCTCTGTGGAGAGCAGGGGAGGTACCGTTGGCCACCATGCAGCACTGGGGCTACGTGCCAGGCTCATCAAGGCTCCCCGGGGCTGGGCAACCGGAGAGGGAGACGCGACCCAAGGGGTAGGTCCGCTCCAAAGCCATGCAAGACCCCCTGGGGCGCTGTCCCCGCTGCTTGTCCTCCCCTCCATGCATCGGCTCTCACCTTCTCCTGCAAGCGCTCCAGCATGGCAGCTAGGTGGGCCTCGCGGTTCTCCTTGTTGGACTCCATCTTCTGCGCCAGCTTCTCCTTGGCCATCTTGATGAAGTTGTTGTTCTCCTCGATGGCCTTCTGCATGACCTCCCGCTCGTGCTCCCGCTTCTCCGCCAGGTGCTTCAGGAGCTCGGCCTCCTGGTACTGCGAGCGGAGACGGGGAGAGATGAGGCACCCACCACCCTGCATCCAACCCCATGGAGTGGGGTTGTCCCCATGCAACCACCATGGGGGATGCTGGCCATGAAGAAATGGGCCCCTCTCCACACCATGGCTTGTGCCATTGGATATGCTGGGCCAAGTGGGGAGGTGACCATGGTATCTACCTTCCTCCGCTCCTCAGCCGCTTCCAGCTTCTTCTGGATCTCCTCGAGGGAAGGGTCGCGGCGCCGCGGCAGGGACGCGTTGAACTCAGGGATGCCGTCGAAGGAGGGGGGCTTGAGGATCACCTCAAAGGACTGCCCCGACGTGCGTTTGTTGAGCTCGATGACCTCCATGTCGGAGATGACGCACCAGGTGAGGTCCACCGTGTCTGCCGGGAGAGGGGACGGTGAGGGCTGGCTTGGCCACAGGGGACACCCCGAGACCTTCCGTGGCTCCTACCTTCATACGTGTAGGCTGGCTTGTTCAAGGGGTCCGAGAGGAAGCAGGAGCAGAAGAGGGAGACGAGGGGCAGCTCCTTCATCTTCTCCTTGTAAGCTGGAGAGAGAGAACATGGTGGGTGGGTGGGCTGGCGTCGGGGACGTGCGGCCACCTCGGAGCAGGGATATGGGTGGGATGGGGCTTCTAAATATTGCATCTGGGCTCGTTGCAGCTGGCAGAGCCATGCTGGCAATGGCCCTCTCCAAAGGGGGAAACTGAGGCATGCAATGAGCTGGAGCCATGTGCATGAGCCAGTGCACACACAGGGGTGCAAAGTGGACATGGGTCAGGGCCATCCAGGGGGGTTTGGATGGGACCTGATGGGCAGATGGGAAGGACCCGGTCGAACTGTCCCCATGTCCCCTCCGCGCGCCGGTGTCCGTACCAGCCAGAGTCATGGTGTCGCCTTGTGGGGCGTCTGCAGCCACTAAGCTCCTGGAGGCCTGGAGAGGAAGGAGATTGGGCATCAGCGCACGGGGCGGCCGAGGCTCGCGGGCATCGCCTGGTCCAGCCCTCCCACCAGGGCCACCCTCTTGTGAGCAACACACGGGCACCAGTGTGGGGCAATGGGCACCTACTGGTGTCATGGGCACACATGATGTGATGTGATGGGCATGGAGTGGGGTGATTGGCACCCATTGCAGACACGGGCACACACTGGTGTGATCTGATAGGCACCTCCTGGCGTGATGGGCATCTCCTGGTGAAAAGGGCACCTCTTGGTGCGATGCATATGCAGTGGCGTGGTGTGATGGGTATCCACCGCCATGATGGACATACACTGGGGTGCTGGGATGGGCATGCCCTGGTGTGATGGGCATGCAGTAACACAGTGAGATGGCATGGGCACACACTGGTGGGATGTGATGGGCATGTCCTGATGTGATGGGCATGCAGTAACACGGTGAGATGGCATGGGTACACATTGGTGGGGTATGATGGGCATGTCCTGATGTGATGGGCACCTACTGGTGTGAGGGACACGCACTGAGGTGGTGTGATGGGCACGTGGTGGGATGTGATGGGCACCCAGCAGTGCGGTGCGATGGGCACAGAACACCATGGTGGCCCGGGCACATCCCGGTGATGAGAACACAGTGGGGCGGTGCCGTGGGATAGAGGAGGACACATGGATGAGGGACACACAGAAAATGGACACATGGATGAGGGACACACAGGATGGGCAGGCGGATGATGGACATGCGGATGAGGGACTCACAGGATGGACATGAGGACGAAGGACACAACAGGATGGACAAGCAGATGATGGACACACAGGTGAGGTACATGCAGGATGGACACGCGAACGAGGGACACGCGAATGAGAGACACAATAGGATGGACACGCGGATGATGAACATGCGGATGAGGGCCCTGCCGCCAGCGCCGTGTGACGGACACACCCCACCAGGACAGGCAGATGTGGCTCCCACCGACCTTCTCTGCATGGGGGCTGCGCCCCCCCGCGCTCGGCAGCCGCCTGTGCCCGCGCACCCCCACACACCCCGGGGGTGCATACACCCCTACAGGCGGAGCGCCCCTCGCACACCCTCCGCACACCCTTTGCAGCAGCCCAGGGCCCTTCACACGTGTCTAGAGGGCCCCAGTGCTCAGCTGGCTCCTGGCTGGGGCGGGGAGGGGGCACCCGGCTGTGCACGGGACCCTCTCCGATGCCGATGGGGGCATCCCGGGATCACCGGTGTGGGGGGTTCCTGCTGGAAACGCCCCTGCTGGTTTTGCCAGAAAGATAAATTGGATTTTGGGGACGGCCTCGTGGAAAGGGCTTGTTTCCATGGAAAGGGGGGAAAATCCCTTTGAAAATCCCTTTGAAAAGGGGGGTTTAAGCTGCCGGGGTGGCTGTGCGTGGCCAGTCCATGACGGGCGTTATCCCCCGCATCACGCCGGGATGAGCCGCGAGGTGCAACCGCCCGGAGAGCAGGACTGGGATTCTCCAGTGTCTCGTATGTGGCTGTGGGCCCCTTGGCCCCCGCTGTCGTCCCCAAACTGCCGCCTCGCTCAAA